CCCTGATTTGTTGTCATAATTGAAAACATTTGCACAAAAAGAATCTTTGTGTTTTGTCCTGAAGTACTGAAATGTTCCTGCTGTCTGCTCAGTGCATAAAGACAAAATGTTTTCTTTGTGACACATAATAATCATTACCAGAGCAACCAACTGTAACATCACAAACAAATACATGGTCCAAATCTATCCTGGGTGGTTTTGCACTGACTTTAAATGGAGTCACTACAGATGGCTTCAGCCCTGCAAGTGCAAATAAAGAAGCAGCAGTAGGAAGAGAACAACCCACAAAAAAAATAGTCTAAGATCATCATGATAACTCAGAAATGGCTAAGATACAACTCCCTCACTTCAAGTCTCTCCTCAAAAAGAAAAACAAATGAACAGAAAAAACATAACTAAACGACACTGACTCAGAGAACACAAGTTCATCCAAAGCCATGCTCTCTTGGTGCAGCAGGGAAGCCCTAGAGGGTGTAATGATGAATCTGTAGGCATCATTGTGGTGTCCCAAAGCAGCCTTAGTTGCAGTGTAGTCATCCACTTACACTGCCCTCCTGTGTGGATGCTCAGACACCACCATGGGGGCATGTGCTGCCACTCCCTGGAGGGAGAAGGCCTGGAAGCATCCCATGCTTCATGGTGCCAATGCAAGCATGTTTGCCAGTAGCAGAGCTGGGTTCTAGGCCTCCAGCTATCAAATGCTCTTTGTGGTATTTACATTTTTCAGAAAAGTTGATCAGGACACATTTCTATGGACGCCAAAGGTCCTTCATGAAAAAACCCCTAAGACCTACTGTGGGGGTAGATGAAGTGTCAAGTCTGTCTGAGCACAGATGACCAACAAGGCCAAGGTTGAATTTAGATCCTGGTGTCAGAAGATTGCATGAGATTCTACAAATATATATATATATATATATGGCCACAAAAAAGGCAGGTACAAGTTTGAGCTGCATAAACAAAGGTCATAACATCCTAGAAGTTAATTTTCTATGCAAATACTACACACTTTTTAAAGCAGACACTGAACTGATAATTTGGAAAAGAAAAATTCTTACACTTCATACACATTTACACATTTGTTTATGTATGACCTTCTAGATGAGTCGTATAACTACCAGCATAACGACACATTTGCCTTGCTTGCTCACAAAATTCACACATTTTATGTAGAATGAAATAGATCCAAAGGGAGATCTTGAGGCAGAGAAGCCTCAAAATCTTCCATTTTCTGCAAAATCTTTCCTGCCACACCGGCAAGGAAGTTGGGGGTGCATGAGAGGTTGGGAGGAAGACACAGCCAGGACAGGTGACCCAAACTGACCAAAGGGATATTCCATACCATATGATATCATGCTCAGCGTATAAAGTGGAGGGAAGAACAAGGAAGGGGGAATTTTTTGAGGTGATGACACTTGCCTTCCCAAGTAACCATTACATATGATGGGGCTCTGCTGTCCTGGAGATGGTTGAACACCTCCTGCCCATGGAAGCAGTGAATGAATTCCTTGCTTTGCTTGTGTGTGCAGCTTTTGCTTTCCCTATTAGACTGTCTTTATCTCGATCCGTAAGTTTTTCTAGCTTTTACCTTTCTGATTCTATTCCCCATGCCACTGGTGGGGAAGTGAGTGAGTGGCTGTGTGGTGTTTGGCTGCTGGCTAGGGTTAAACTGTGACAGTTATAAAACACAGTTGCAGTCCTACACTCTCTACAGCCTCATCCCTTCTCAGAAACCAGGTTTCCATACTGGGTTGTGTCTGTTACTGTTCTGAGCCTTTTCTGCCCATCCCTTCACTGCCTCTGCTTAGTCAGTTTGTTCTCTGTTTACAAACTGCAACTAAAATAGATCATCAATTTTTTTTCAGTGTTCAGAAATAAACTTTTTTCCAGACCTTTTTTTCCAGCTTTTGGATTCTATTTGCTTTCAGTATCCTGATGCCTCCAACACCAGAGAAATTACAACTGTTGTTAAAATTGGGGTGAATCGAAAATATCAGAAGCAATGTACCTAACTTTGTCAAAAACTGAAATCCAGACAACTATAATAATTACCTTATGTAGGAAAAAAACATAGTCTTCCCTAAAGAAATTGTTTTGTTTAATTCAAATTCTGTATATGTTTGCTATAACATATTATTAACACATTTCACATCTACAGGCACAAAAATTAAAATCTCCTCTTATACACTGACCATAAGTTTAGAAAATCCCTATACATCATGTGCTTATAAAATTATCATCCTGTTTCTCTAAATTTTTACTGGGCATGGAACTTACCTGTCCTAATACCCAGCTGTCTCCAAACACCTGTGCATTTCTCACCTCCATGTTGTTTGATGTAGTCAGATCATTTGAAGTGTATTTGTCAAAATTTCCACACAAACCTGCCAGTTTACCCTGAAAGAGAAGTTGATTTTTTTTCATAAACTGACAGTCAATAATCTGTACAAGTACATATATAGAATATAACATCCTTTAACTGAAAAAGGTGAATGCAACTCTGACTTATACTTTGAAAATATCTGACACTCTGCGATTCTTACAGTTGTGTATTGCAAATATCTTTTAACAGAAATCAATGTTTTTCTTCTTGTTTTCCATAACCTGTTCTTACTGTCTGCCTGTGAAAAGGAACTGGAATCTGGTAATATTTTTTCTAAAATCTTAATAGTATGTCCAGTCCAAAAGTCAAAAGTTCAAGGAATTACCTCATGATTGTGAAGCCTGACTAGTTGTTGTCATTAAAATTTTCTGCCTCTAATTTTAGCTCACAATAGCAAGAACATTTGTAATAGTAGTTATAAAAGAGGCAGCTCAAACTTTCTTTTGTTCAGCATGTGCTAAAAAATATATATATACATGCATACATCTATAAATACATAGAAAAAAAATTTCCACACAACAGTAAAAAGTAGAATTTTATTTCTAGGGTGCCGTGGCTCACACTAATGAAATCTTTTTCCTTAAGGTCTGCTGCAGACATTATCTTACCGAACTGGAAA